GTCCCCTAGGCTACAGACACACACACAGAGACAGCTGTCACTGGGGGTGTCCCCTAGGCTACAGACACACACACAGACAGCTGTCACTGGGGGTGTCCCCTAGACTACAGACTCGCACACAGAGACAGCTGCCACTGGGGGTGTCCCCTAGGCTACAGACTCACACAGAGACAGCTGTCACTGGGGGTGTCCCCTAGGCTACAGCCACACACACAGACAGCTGCCACTGGGGGTGTCCCCTAGGCTACAGACACTCACACAGAGACAGCTGTCACTGGGGGTACCCCCTAGGCTACAGACTCACACGGCAGCTGTGATCATCATTGCGTGTACACCCATGCAGTGTCGCTCGATTTCGGAAGCGATTTGGCCATCGCGAATGATAGCAGCACCACTAGGTGTCCGATAGTCGTCGTCACGTAGAGATGAATAGCAGCGGCCAAAATACTTTTGATTCTAAATTTGGAGGTGTGGGGGAACCGCCTCCGGATGAACCGGAGATAAATCCCAGTAGCGACCAGTACGGGAACAGCGAGAGAGAGACGCAGACTCCAAATGTCCAGCAGCAGTAGCAGGCATTGTCAGGGTCGGGGATCGAACCCACGACCTCCTGTGTACCTGGCGATGTAGCCATCATCTCACCACGTGGAGAGAGAGGGAGAGAGACGCAGAATCCAAATGTCCAGCAGCAGTAGCAGGCATTGTCAGTGTCGGGGATCGAACCCACGACCTCCTGTGTACCTGGCGAGGTAGCCAGCATCTCACCACGTGGAGAGGGAGAGAGAGAGACGCAGACTCCAAATGTCCAGCAGCAGTAGCAGGCATTGTCAGGGTCGGGGATCGAACCCACGACCTCCTGTGTACCAGGCGAGGTAGCCAACATCTCACCACGTGGTGGTGGTGGGAGGTATTGGTGTGTGGGGGGTGTTTGTGTATTTGTGTAAATAGGAGGGGAAGGATGTCGCAGTTGCTGGTTCTGTGTTTGGATACAAAATAAATGAGCACTCGAGAGACGCCGTGAAGTCGACTTTCATTTGTGTATCCGAGTGTCTCTGAGTGTGTGTGTCTCTGTGTGTGTCTCTGTGTGTCCGATTGTCTCTGAGTGTGCATGAGTGTCTGTGTGTGTCTGAGTATGCATGAGTGTCTGTGTGAGTGTCTCTGTGTGTGTCTGAGTATGCATGAGTGTCTGTGTGTCTCTGTGCATGAGTGTCTGTGTGTGTGTCTCTGTGCATGAGTGTCTGTGTGTGTCCGAGTGTCTCTGAGTGTGCATGAGTGTCTGTGTGTGTGTCTCTGTGTGTGTGTCTCTGAGTGTCTGTGTGTGTGTCCGAGTGTCTCTAAGTGTGGGTGTGTGTCTCTAAGTGTGTGTGTCTGTGTGTCTCTAAGTGTGTGTGTCTGTGTGTGTCCGAGTGTCTCTAAGTGTGTGTGTGTCTGTGTGTGTCTCTGTGTGTGTCAGAGTGTCTCTAAGTGTGCGTGTGTGTCTGTGTGTGTCTCTGTGTGTGTCAGTGTCTCTAAGTGTGTGTGTCTGTCTGTGTGTGTCCGAGTGTCTCTAAGTGTGCGTGTGTGTCTCTGTGTGTGTCCGAGTGTCTCTAAGTGTGCGTGTGTGTCTGTGTGTGTCTCTGTGTGTGTCAGAGTGTCTCTAAGTGTGTGTGTCTGTCTGTGTGTGTCCGAGTGTCTCTAAGTGTGTCTGTGTGTGTCTCTGTGTGTGTCCGAGTGTCTCTAAGTGTGTGTGTGTCTCTGTGTGTGTCCGAGTGTCTCTAAGTGTGCATGTGTGTGTCTTTGTCTCTTGAGTGTCTGTGTCTCTGTGCATGTGTGTCCGTCTGTCTATGTGTCTCTGAGTGTGCGTGTGTGTGTGTCTTGAGTGTGTGTCTGTCTGTGTGTGTGTCTCTTGAGTGTGTGTGTGTCTGTCTGTCTCTGAGTGTGTGTGAGTGTGGGGAGCGGTGGGTGTAGTGGTGAGCGCTACGCCACGCTACGAACCCGGCGACTCGAGTTCGATTCCCGCTCACGGCCAACAGCAGCGATGGAGATTATCTGAACCGGTCCTGGGCCTCCCCTAAGTCGACTCGGCCTCAAATGAGTAGCGGTGTAGTCAACGTCGCTAGCACTGGGAGAGACAAAGGCGGCCGGGCGTGGTGGTGGTCCTGGCCACCCACCCCCTCTGTGTGTGTAGCCACAGTGCCGGTAGCCTTCATAGACGCTGCTTCTACTCGCTAACAGCACTTGCCCCTACAGCCCTGTGTGGGCTAACTGGGGGAGCTTTGTGTGAGTAGTGAGTGAGTGAATGTGTAGGTGAGTGGGTGTGTGAGAATGATTGAATGGATAGGTGAGTGGATGAGTGGGTGAGTGTGTAGATGAGTGTGTGTGTGAGTGTGAATGGATAGGTGAGTGTGTGAGTGAGTGAATGTGTAGGTGAGTAGGTGTACGAGTGAATGTGTAGGTGACTGTGTGTGCGAGTGTGTAGGTGAATTGCGAATGATTGAATGGATAGGTGAGTGGGTGAGTGAATGTGTAGGTGTGAATGTGAGTGGGTGTGTGAGTGAATGTGTAGGTGACTGTGTGAGTGGGTGTGTGAGAGTGAATGTGTAGGTGAATGATTGAATGGATAGGTGAGTGTGTGAGTGAATGTGTGATTGAATGGATAGGTGAGTGAATGGATAGGTGAGTGGTTGAATGGATAGGAGTGAGTGTGTGTGAATAGGTGAGTGAATGGATAGGTGAGTGGTTGAATGGATAGGTGTGTGTGTGAGTAGGTGAGTGAATGGATAGGTGAGTGGTTGACTGTATGAGTGGGTGTGAGTGAATGTGTTGATGAGTGGGTGTGAGTAGGTGAGTGGGTGTGTGAGTAGGTGAGTGGGTGAGTAGGTGAGTGAGTGGGTGTGTGAGTAGGTGAGTGAGTGAGTGAGTAGGTGAGTGAGTGTGTGAGTAGGTGAGTGAGTTTGTGGGTAAGTGAGTGAGTGTGTAAGTAGGTGAGTGAGTGTGTGAGTGAGTAGGTGAGTGAGTGTGTGAGAAGTGAGTGTGTGAGTAGGTGAGTGAGTGTGTGGGTAAGTGAGTGAGTGTGTAAGTAGGTGAGTGAGTAGGTGAGTGAGTGAGTGTGTGAGTAGGTGAGTGAGTGAGTGTGTGAGTAGGTGAGTGAGTGAGTGTGTGAGTAGGTGAGTGTGTGAGTAGGTGAGTGAGTGAGTAGGTGAGTGAGTGAGTAGGTGAGTGAGTAGGTGAGTGAGTGAGTAGGTGAGTGAGTGAGTGAGTAGGTGAGTGTGTGAGTAGGTGAGTGAGTGAGTGTGTGAGTAGGTGAGTGAGTGAGTGAGTAGGTGAGTGAGTGTGTGAGTAGGTGAGTGAGTTTGTGGGTAAGTGAGTGAGTGTGTAAGTAGGTGAGTGAGTGTGTAAGTAGGTGAGTGAGTGTGTGAGTGAGTAGGTGAGTGAGTGTGTGAGGAGTGAGTGTGTGAGTAGGTGAGTGAGTGTGTGGGTAAGTGAGTGAGTGTGTAAGTAGGTGAGTGAGTAGGTGAGTGAGTGAGTGTGTGAGTAGGTGAGTGAGTGAGTGTGTGAGTAGGTGAGTGAGTGAGTGTGTGAGTAGGTGAGTGTGTGAGTAGGTGAGTGAGTGAGTAGGTGAGTGAGTGAGTAGGTGAGTGAGTGAGTAGGTGAGTGAGTGAGTAGGTGAGTGAGTGAGTAGGTGAGTAGGTGAGTGAGTGAGTGAGTAGGTGAGTGTGTGAGTAGGTGAGTGAGTGAGTGTGTGAGTAGGTGAGTGAGTGAGTGAGTAGGTGAGTGAGTGAGTAGGTGAGTGAGTGAGTGTGTGAGTAGGTGAGTGAGTGAGTGTGTGAGTAGGTGAGTGAGTGAGTGTGTGAGTAGGTGAGTGAGTGAGTGTGTGAGTAGGTGAGTGAGTGAGTGTGTGAGTAGGTGAGTGAGTGAGTGTGTGAGTAGGTGAGTGAGTGAGTGTGAGTAGGTGAGTAGGTGAGTGTATGGGTAGGTGAGTGAGTAGGTGAGTGAGTAGGTGAGTGTGTGAGAGGGTGTGTGAGTAGGTGATTGTGTGAGTGGATGAGTGAGTAGGTGAGTGAGTAGGTGAGAGGGTGAGTGTGTGAGAGGGTGAGTGAGAGGGTGAGTGAGTAGGTGAGTGAGTAGGTGAGAGGGTGAGTGAGTAGGTGAGTGAGTGAGTAGGTGAGTGTATGAGTAGGTGAGTGTATGAGTAGGTGAGTGTATGAGTAGGTGAGTGTATGAGTAGGTGAGTGTATGAGTAGGTGAGTGTATGAGTAGGTGAGTGTATGAGTAGGTGAGTGTATGAGTAGGTGAGTGTATGAGTAGGTGAGTGTATGAGTAGGTGAGTGTATGAGTAGGTGAGTGTATGAGTAGGTGAGTGTATGAGTAGGTGAGTGAGTGTATGAGTAGGTGAGTGAGTGTATGAGTAGGTGAGTGAGTAGGTGAGTAGGTGAGTGAGTAGGTGAGTAGGTGAGTGAGTAGGTGAGTAGGTGAGTGAGTAGGCGAGTAGGTGAGTGTGTGAGTGAGTAGGTGAGTGTGTGAGTGTGTGAGAGGGTGAGTGAGTAGGTGAGTGTATGAGTAGGTGAGTAGGTGAGAGGGTGTGTGAGTGTCTCTGTGGCCCTGGGGGAGACAAAGGCGGCCGGGCGTGGTGGTGTTATCCACACCACCCCCACTGTGTGTGGTGTCACTGCCGGTCGCCTTCATAGGCGGTGCTGCTGCTACTCACAGCCACTTGCCCCCTCCAACACTCGTGGACACATGGTCTAGGTTCCGTTCTGTCTTCAACGTTTCGGGCCACTGACCTTTTGTATCGTCATAATTTTAGTGAAAACAAAATTGTATTCTTCCCTGTATTAAGCTACATCGAGCGTTTTTGGAAAAGGCTCGTTGCCCGAAACGTCGACTCGTCAATATTTTAATGTTGCAGCCACACTAAGACCCTGGTCTTATTATTGTTATCGTCATCATAGAGTGAAAAACGAATCGCGTTTGTTTAAAAAAAATCACCGCCGGCCACCGTAGCCGACCTTCGCCCCGCCTTATTGAGAACCCCGCGTCACGTGACGTCGCCGTCAAGATGGCGGCAAGGCAGGGTGTTATTTTCCCGCCAATTTTATAACTTTCTTTCTAAAGATTTTATTCACGAATGAAGCTAACGTTTTCGAAATAAAAGCAAGGTGGTGGTGGTATAACAAACATATCCTGCAGCACAAGAGGAGCGATGCCTCGCTACGCGCATCTCGTCATGGGCCCCGCCGGCAGTGGCAAGGTAAACGCTTCCTCGCCTAGGCCCTGTTCAGGCTCCTCCATTACCTTTTAATAGGACGATGCGTTTTATTCTAGATTTAAAGCTTTCGTGACTGCTAGGATCCATAATCTTTGGTTCTATTGGGTAAAGTCACGTAGGTAGAAAATAAAATAACAAAAATATTCTCACGACGTTTCGGCCACAACACAAGCGGGCCTTCATCAGGTGAAGGGGACGAGACTGTCTGGTAGGACAGCGCTGGAGTGGGAGAAGCCACGCTTAAATTTCGATTTAAAGCTTTCGTGACTGCAAGGATTCATCTTCTTAGGTTCTTTCGGTAAAGTCACGTAGAATGAGAATAAAATAATAAATTGATAAAATAAAATAACAATAATATTCTCACGACGTTTCGGCCACAACACAAGCGGCCTTCATCAGGTGAAGGGATGAGACTGTCTGGTAGGACAGCGCTGGAGTGAAAGAGCCACGTTCAGATCGCGACCTTTAAGCTGTGTGAGAAGAAAACAAAGCGCTTTGACAAAGGAATTAGCATAGAATTTAGCATTGAAATGGCTCTTGAAATAGCTAAGTTAAAGTCTACACATCCGCAGAGGTACCCCTTGACAAAGGAATTAGCGTAGAATTTAGCATTGAAATAGCTGAGTGATTAGCTTGTAACTGGTCACAGAAATAGCTAAGTTAAAGTATACACATCCGCAGAGGTACCCCTTGACAAAGGAATTAGCGCTGCTTGACAAAGGAATTAGCATAGAATTTAGCATTGAAATGGCTCATTGAAATAGCTAAGTTAAAGTATACACATCCGCAGAGGCACCCCTTGACAAAGGAATTAGCATAGAATTTAGCATTGAAATGGCTCATTGAAATAGCTAAGTTAAAGTATACACATCCGCAGAGGCACCCCTTGACAAAGGAATTAGCATAGAATTTAGCATTGAAATGGCTCATTGAAATAGCTAAGTTAAAGTATACACATCCGCAGAGGCACCCCTTGACAAAGGAATTAGCATAGAATTTAGCATTGAAATAGCCGAGTGATTAGCTTGTAACTGGTCACAGAAATAGCTAAGTTAAAGTATACACATCCGCAGAGGTACCCCTTGACAAAGGAATTAGCGCTGCTTGACAAAGGAATTAGCATAGAATTTAGCATTGAAATGGCTCATTGAAATAGCTAAGTTAAAGTATACACATCCGCAGAGGCACCCCTTGACAAAGGAATTAGCATAGAATTTAGCATTGAAATGGCTCATTGAAATAGCTAAGTTAAAGTATACACATCCGCAGAGGCACCCCTTGACAAAGGAATTAGCATAGAATTTAGCATTGAAATAGCCGAGTGATTAGCTTGTAACTGGTCACAGAAATAGCTGTGTTAAAGTCAGAGCATACACATTCACCGAGGCACCTAGTACTGATGAGTACTAGGTGCCTCTAGGTGCCTCGGTGAATGTACTGATGAGTACTAGGTGCCTCGGTGAATGTATATGCTCTGACTTTAACATAGCTATTTCTGTGACCAGTTACAAGCTAATCACTCGGCTATTTCAATGGTAAATTCTATGCTAATCCTTTGTCAAGGCGCTTTGTGTTTTTCTTTTGACACAGCTTTTAAAGGTCGTGATCTGAACGTGGCTTCTCCCACTCCAGCGCTGTCCTACCAGACAGTCTCGTCCCCTTCACCTGATGAAGGCCCACTTGTGTTGTGGCCGAAACGTCGTGATTTTTTTGTTATTTTATTTTCACCCACGTGACTTTACCCGATGCGTTTCATATCGTAATCCACAATAATAGAGGCGTACATTAAGTAGTGAGGCGTACACTCGTTCACTTTGTTTAGCCGATGTCGTTTGCGTGGTGACTTTTTATCGAAGCGACCAAAGAGTTTGGATTTCTGCAGTCACGAAAAATTCAAATCTCGATTCGCTCCACAGCAGCTGAGCGAGGCATTTTACTCCTGGTACGATAAACGATAGAGTCTAAAGTTTAATATTTAAACGTTCGTGACTGCAGGATGTAATGCCCTTGGTTCTTTCGGTAGAGTCACGTAGGTCGAAAATAAAATCTTAAAAGTCAAACAAGATGAAAAAAAAAACGCACGACGTTTCGATCGCAACACGAGCGCTCTTACACGAGGCGGATATAAATAACAATAAGAATAAAAGGAAACAATTAAATCACGACGTTTCGGAGGCAACACAAGCAGCCGTCTTCAGGTGGAACAGTCACAGCAGGATCGCTGCATCAAGAGCGATCTTGCTGTGACTGTTCCACCTGAAGACGGATGCTTGTGTCGCCTCCGAAACGTCGTGATTTAATTGTTTTATTTTATTCTTTATTTTTACCTGCGTGACTTTACCGAAAGGGGAAAAAAAACAGAGTATGAATCCTTGCAGTCACGGAAAGCTTCAAATCTAGAGAAATATATAGTTTAGTTTTTAGTTGAGATTAATTCCTCTAAATGTCTACATGATCACGATGATGATTTTAGATACTTGACTAAGCTGATATCATTGCGTGATGGCCAGGTGGCTTCTTACGAGCTACACAGCAAATCCTCAGCGAGGCATCACACCCGGTACAATCAACGTAGTTTAGTTTTTAGTTGAGATGAATTCCTCTAAATGTCTACGTGATCATGATGATGATTTTAGATACTTGGCTAAGCTGATATCATTGCGTGATGGACAGGTGTCTTCTTAGGAGCTAAACAGCAAATCCTCAGTGAGGCATCACACCCGGTACAATCAACGAAGTTTAGTTTTTAGTTGAGATTAATTCCTCTAAATGTCTACGTGATGATGATTTTAGATACTTGGCTAAGCTGATATCATTGCGTGATGGCCAGCTGGCTTCTTACGAGCTACACAGCAGCAGCTGCTGCTCCTCAGTGAGGCATCACACCCGGTACAATCAACATTTTTTAGTTGAGATGAATTCCTCTAAATGTCTACATGATCACGATGATGATTTTAGATACTTGGCTAAGCTGATATCATTGCGTGATGGCCAGGTGGCTTCTTACGAGCTGCACAGCAAATCCTCAGTGAGACATCACACCCGGTACAATCAACGTAGTTTAGTTTTTAGTTGAGATGATTTCCTCTAAATGTCTACGTGATGATCATGATGATGATTTCAGATACTTGGCTAAGCTGATATCATTGCGTGATGGACAGGTGGCTTCTTATGAGCTACACAGCAAATCCTCAGTGAGGCATCACACCCGGTACAATCAACGTAGTTTAGTTTTTAGTTGAGACGAATTCCTCTAAATGTCTACATGATGATGATTTTAGATACTTGGCTAAGCTGATATCATTGCGTGATGGCCAGCTGGCTTCTTACGAGCTGCACAGCAAATCCTCAGTGAGGCATCACACCCGGTACAATCAACGTAGTTTAGTTTTTAGTTGAGATGAATTCCTCTAAATGTCTACATGATGATCATGATGATGATTTTAGATACTTGGCTAAGCTGATATCATTGCGTGATGGCCAGCTGGCTTCTTACGAGCTGCACAGCAAATCCTCAGTGAGGCATCACACCCGGTACAATCAACGTAGTTTAGTTTTTAGTTGAGATGAATTCCTCTAAATGTCTACGTGATCATGATGATGATGATTTTAGATACTTGGCTAAGCTGATATCATTGCGTGATGGCCAGCTGGCTTCTTACGAGCTGCACAGCAAATCCTCAGTGAGGCATCACACCCGGTACAATCAACGAAGTTTAGTTTTTAGTTGAGATTAATTCCTCTAAATGTCTACGTGATAAAAGATGACGATGATGATGATGACGATGATGATCATATCCGCCACTTGGTTAAACTGCTGTCACCTTGTGATGACCGTGTCGCTTGTGATATAAAAGAGCAGCTTCGGAGTTTATCATTGAGGTTTTACAGCGGCGTGAACCCCGCCATCAATCACCTCCATTACCAGCAGCAGCGGCAGTAGCAGCGGCAGCGGCGACAAACAGCGGGAAACAACAGCCGCCATTCGCCACTTTGTTGGCGATGATGGCTCGCCACGGCGCCTGTGCCAGGCTAGGTGCACCTTGAGGCCACGTGAAGTGTCGATGGCTCGCCGCTGCTGACGGGAGGTCACGGGACAGACCCAGCAGGTGCCATGGGTTGTTACTGCTGTGCCAGGCTAGGTGCAGGAGGAGGAGGTCGCGGGATAGACCCAGCAGGTGCCATGGGTTGTTACTGCTGTGCCAGGCTAGGTGCAGGAGGAGGAGGTCACGGGACAAACCCGCCCATCACCACCCCCACAATCACCACCCCCATCACCACCCCCATCACTCCCATCACCACCCCCATCACCACCCCCATCACTCCCATCACCACCCCCATCACCACCCCTATCACCACCCCCCCATCACCACCCCCATCACCACCCCCATCACCACCCCCATCACCACCACCACCACCCCCACCACCACCCCCATCACCACCACCCCCCCCATCACCACCCCCACCACCACCCCTCACCACCATCACCACCCCCACCACCACCCCCATCACCACCACCCTCACCACCACCACCATCACCACCCCCATCACCACCCCCATCACCACCCCCATCACCACCACCATCACCACCACCACCCCCACCACCACCCCCATCACCACCCACCACCACCCCCATCACCACCCCCATCACCACCCCCATCACCACCCCCATCACCACCCCATCACCACTCCCATCACCACCCCCATCACCACCCCCATCACCACCCCCATCACCACCACCCCCATCACCACCCCCATCACCACCCCCATCACCACCCCCACCACCACCCCCATCACCACCCCCATCACCACTACCCCCACCACCACCATCACCACCACCATCACCACCCCCATCACCACCACCCCCATCACCACCACCACCCCCATCATCACCCCCATCACCACCCCCATCACCACCACCCCCATCACCACCATCACCACCCCCATCACCACCCCCATCACCACCCCCATCACCACCCCCATCACCACCCCCATCACCACCACCACCCCCATCACCACCCCCATCACCACCCACCACCACCCCCATCACCACCCCCATCACCACCCCCATCACCACCCCCATCACCACCCCATCACCACTCCCATCACCACCCCCATCACCACCCCCATCACCACCCCCATCACCACCACCCCCATCACCACCCCCATCACCACCCCCATCACCACCCCCACCACCACCCCCATCACCACCCCCATCACCACCCCCACCACCACCATCACCACCACCATCACCACCCCCATCACCACCACCCCCATCACCACCACCACCCCCATCATCACCCCCATCACCACCCCCATCACCACCACCCCCATCACCACCACCATCACCACCCCCATCACCACCCCCATCACCACCACCATCACCACCCCCATCACCACCCCCATCACCACCCCCACCACCACCATCACCACCACCACCACCACCCCCCTCACCACCATCACCACCACCCCCACCCCCATCACCACCCCCATCACCACCACCACCACCCCCACCACCACCACCATCACCACCACCACCACCACCATCACCACCATCACCACCATCATCACCACCACTACCACCACCACTACCACCAGCACCACCAGCACCACCAGCATCACCACCCCCACCACCACCCCCATCACCACCCCCATCACCCCCACCACCCCCACCACCACCACCCCCATCACCCCCCGTGTCTCCACAGAGCACCTACTGTGCCATGATGCTGGAGCACCTCGCCGCCCTTCGGAGATCCGCAGCGGTCGTGAACCTGGACCCAGCCGCAGAGCACTTCTCATACCCCGTCGCTGTGGGTGGGTGGTGGGTGGGTGTGTGGGTGGGTGTGTGTGTGTGTGGGTGGTGTGGGTGTGTGGGTGGTGGGTGGGTGTGTGTGGTGTGGGTGGTGTGGGTGGGTGTGTGGGTGGGTGGTGTGGGTGGGTGTGTGTGTGGGTGGTGTGTGTGGGTGTGTGTGGGTGGGTGGGTGGGTGTGTGGTGGGTGGGTGTGTGAGTGGGTGTGTGTGGGTCTGTGGTGGGTGGGTGTGTGTGGGTGGGTGTGGGTGGTGTGTGGTGGGTGTGTGTGGGTGGGTGTGTGTGGGTGTGTGGGTGTGTGGGTGGATGGGTGTGGGTGGGTGGGTGGGTGTGGGTGTGTGGGTGTGGGTGGGTGGGGTGTGGGTGGTGTGTGTGGGTGTGTGGGTGGATGGGTGTGGGTGGGTGGGTGTGGGTGGGTGGTGTGGGTGGGTGGTGGGTGGGTGGGTGGGTGTGGGTGGGTGGTGTGGGTGGGTGGTGGGTGGGTGTGTGGTGGGTGTGGGTGGGTGGTGGGTGGGTGTGTGGGTGGGTGTGTGGTGGGTGTGTGGTGGGTGGGTGTGTGGGTGGGTGGTGGGTGGGTGTGTGGTGTGTGTGGGTGCGTGTGTGTGTGGGTGTGTGGGTGTGTGTGTGGGTGGGTGTGTGTGGGTGGGTGTGTGTGGGTGGGTGGGTGTGTGTGGGTGGGTGTGTGGGTGGGTGGGTGTGTGTGGGTGGGTGTGTGGGTGGTGTGTGTGGATGGGTGGGTGTGTGTGGGTGGGTGGTGTGTTTGGGTGTGTTGTGTGGTGTGTGGGTGGGTATGTGGGTGTGTGGGTGGGTGGAGTGTGTGGGTGGGTGTGTGGTGGGTGGGTGTGTGTGTGGTGGATGGGTGTGTGGGTGGGTGGGTGTGTGGGTGGGTGGGTATGTGGGTGTGTGGTGGGTGGGTGTGGGTGGGTGTGTGGGTGGATGTGTGGGTGGGTGTGGGTGTGTGTGGGTGGGTGTGTGGGTGGGTGGGTGTGTGTGGGTGGGTGTGTGTGTGGTGGATGGGTGTGTGTGTGGGTGGGTGGGTGTGTGGGTGGGTGTGTGGTGGGTGGGTGTGTGGGTGGGTAGGTATGTGTGTGTGGGTGGGTGGTGTGTGTGGGTGGGTGTGTGGTGGGTGAGTGTGTGGTGGGTGGGTGTGTGGGTGGGTGGGTGTGATGCCTCGCTCAGCATTAAGGGCAGCAGCATCAGCAGCAGCATTAGCAGTAGCAGCATCATCAGCATGAGCAGCAACATCATCAGCATGAGCATCAGCATGAGCAGCAGCAGCATCATCAGCATGAGCAGCAGCATCAGCAGCAACATCATCAGCAGCATGAGCATCATCAGCAGTATCATGATGGAGGACGACTCTCTCTCCCCGTGTCTCTCTCCCCGTGTCTCTCTCCCCGTGTCTCTCCCCCCGTGTCTCTCCCCCCGTGTCTCTCCCCCCGTGTCTCTCCCCCCGTGTCTCTCCCCCCGTGTCTCTCCCTGTGTCTCTCTCACCGTGTCTCTCCCCCCGTGTCTCTCTCCCTGTGTCTCTCTCACCGTGTCTCTCTCCCTGTGTCACCCCGTGTCTCTCCCTCCGTGTCTCTCCCCCCGTGTCTCTGTCTCCCTGTAGACGTGAGGGACTTGATCGAGGTGGGCGACGTGACGGAGGACGACTCTCTCTCCCTGTGTCTCCCCGTGTCTCTCTCACCGTGTCTCTCCCTGTGTCTCTCTCACCGTGTCTCTCCCCCCGTGTCTCTCCCCCCGTGTCTCTCCCCCCGTGTCTCTCCCCCCGTGTCTCTCTCACCGTGTCTCTCTCACCGTGTCTCCCCCCGTGTCTCTCCCCCCATGTCTCTCCCCCCGTGTCTCTCCCCCCGTGTCTCTCCCCCCGTGTCTCTCTCACCGTGTCTCTCCCCCCGTGTCTCTCTCACCGTGTCTCTCTCCCTGTGTCTCCCCGTGTCTCTCTCCCCGTGTCTCTCTCACCGTGTCTCTCTCCCTGTGTCTCCCCGTGTCTCTCTCCCCGTGTCTCTCTCACCGTGTCTCTCCCTGTGTCTCTCTCACCGTGTCTCTCCCTGTGTCTCTCTCCCTGTGTCTCCCCGTGTCTCTCTCCCCGTGTCTCTCCCCCCGTGTCTCTCCCCCCGTGTCTCTCCCCCCGTGTCTCTCCCCCCGTGTCTCTCCCCCCGTGTCTCTCCCCCCGTGTCTCTCCCCCCGTGTCTCTCCCCCCGTGTCTCTCCCCCCGTGTCTCTCCCCCCGTGTCTCTCTCCCTGTGTCTCCCCGTGTCTCTCTCCCTGTGTCTCCCCGTGTCTCTCTCACCGTGTCTCTCTCCCTGTGTCTCCCCGTGTCTCTCCCCCCGTGTCTCTCTCCCTGTGTCTCTCCCCCCGTGTCTCCCCGTGTCTCTCTCACCGTGTCTCTCTCCCTGTGTCTCCCCGTGTCTCTCTCCCTGTGTCTCCCCGTGTCTCTCTCACCGTGTCTCTCTCCCTGTGTCTCCCCGTGTCTCTCCCCCCGTGTCTCTCCCCCCGTGTCTCTGTCTGCGTGTAGACGTGAGGGACTTGATCGAGGTGGGCGACGTGACGGAGGACGACTCTCTCTGCCTGGGCCCCAATGGTGGACTCATCTTCTGCATGGAGCACCTCGTGGCCAACCCCTCGTGGCTGGAGCTCGCCCTGGGCCAGGACGAGGACGACTACCTCCTCATAGACTGCCCCGGTGAGGACGACTATAGTGAGGGTGGGGGTGAGGACGACTATAGTTAGGGGGGGGGTGAGGACGACTATAGTGAGGGGGGGGGGTGAGGACGACTATAGTGAGGGGGGGGGGGTGAGGACGACTTTAGTGAGGGGGCGGGGGGTGAGGACGACTATAGTGAGGGGGGTGAGGACGACTATAGTGAGGGGGGGTGAGGACGACTATAGTGAGGGGGGGTGAGGACGACTATAGTGAGGGGGGGGGTGAGGACGACTATAGTGAGGGGGGGTGAGGACGACTATAGTGAGGGGGGGGTGAGGACGACTATAGTGAGGGGGGGGGGTGAGGACGACTATAGTGAGGGGGGGTGAGGACGACTATAGTGAGGGGGTGAGGACGACTATAGTGAGGGGGGGTGAGGACGACTATAGTGAGGGGGGTGAGGACGACTATAGTGAGGGGGGGTGAGGACGACTATAGTGAGGGAGGGGGGTGAGGACGACTATAGTGAGGGGGGGTGAGGACGACTATAGTGAGGGGGGGGTGAGGACGACTATAGTGAGGGGGGGGGGTGAGGACGACTATAGTGAGGGGGGGTGAGGACGACTATAGTGAGGGGGGGGGGTGAGGACGACTATAGTGAGGGGGGTGAGGACGACTATAGTGGGGGGGGGTGAGGACGACTATAGTGAGGGGGGTGAGGACGACTATAGTGAGGGGGGGGGGGGGGGGACGACTATAGTGAGGGGGGGGGGTGAGGACGACTATAGTGAGGGGGGGGTGAGGACGACTATAGTGAGGGGGGGGTGAGGACGACTATAGTGAGGGGGGGGGGTGAGGACGACTATAGTGAGGGGGGGGTGAGGACGACTATAGTGAGGGGGGGTGAGGACGACTATAGTGAGGGGGGGGTGAGGACGACTATAGGGGGGGGGGTGAGGACGACTATAGTGAGGGGGGGGTGAGGACGACTATAGTGGGGGGGGGTGAGGACGACTATAGTGAGGGGGGGGTGAGGACGACTATAGTGAGGGGGGGTGAGGACGACTATAGTGAGGGGGGTGAGGACGACTATAGTGAGGGGGGGGGTGAGGACGACTATAGTGAGGGGGGGGGGGGTGAGGACGACTATAGTGAGGGGGGGGGTGAGGACGACTATAGTGAGGGGGGGGGTGAGGACGACTATAGTGAGGGGGGGGTGAGGACGACTATAGTGAGGGGGGGGGGTGAGGACGACTATAGTGAGGGGGGGGGGTGAGGACGACTATAGTGAGGGGGGGTGAGGACGACTATAGTGAGGGGGGTGAGGACGACTATAGTGAGGGGGGGTGAGGACGACTATAGTGAGGGGGGTGAGGACGACTATAGTGAGGGGGGGTGAGGACGACTATAGTGAGGGGGGGTGAGGACGACTATAGGGAGGGGGGGGGGTGAGGACGACTATAGTGAGGGGGGGGGTGAGGACGACTATAGTGAGGGGGGGGGTGAGGACGACTATAGTGAGGGGGGGGTGAGGACGACTATAGTGAGGGGGGGGTGAGGACGACTATAGGGAGGGGGGGGGGTGAGGACGACTATAGTGAGGGGGGGGGTGAGGACGACTATAGTGAGGGGGGGGTGAGGACGACTATAGTGAGGGGGGGGTGAGGACGACTATAGTGAGGGGGGGTGAGGACGACTATAGTGAGGGGGGGGGTGAGGACGACTATAGTGAGGGGGGGGGTGAGGACGACTATAGTGAGGGGGGGGGTGAGGACGACTATAGTGAGGGGGGGTGAGGACGACTATAGTGAGGGGGGGGTGAGGACGACTATAGTGAGGGGGGGTGAGGACGACTATAGTGAGGGGGGTGAGGACGACTATAGTGAGGGGGGGGGGGTGAGGACGACTATAGTGAGGGGGGGGGGGGTGAGGACGACTATAGTGAGGGGGGGTGAGGACGACTATAGTGAGGGGGGGTGAGGACGACTATAGTGAGGGGGGGGGGTGAGGACGACTATAGTGAGGGGGGGGTGAGGACGACTATAGTGAGGGGGGTGAGGACGACTATAGTGAGGGGGGGGGTGAGGACGACTATAGTGAGGGGGGTGAGGACGACTTTAGTGAGGGGGGGTGAGGACGACTATAGTGAGGGGGGGGGTGAGGACGACTATAGTGAGGGGGGGGGGGTGAGGACGACTATAGTGAGGGGGGGGGGGTGAGGACGACTATAGTGAGGGGGGGGGGGGTGAGGACGACTATAGTTGCTGCTGGTGGTTGCTGGTGGTTGCTGGTGGTTGCTCGTGGTTGCTGGTGGTTGCTCGTGGTTGCTGGTGGTTGCTCGTGGTTGCTCGTGGTTGCTGGTGGTTGCTGGTGGTTGCTGGTGGTTGCTGGTGGTTGCTGGTGGTTGCTGGTGGTTGCTCGTGGTTGCTCGTGGTTGCTGGTGGTTGCTGGTGGTTGCTGGTGGTTGCTGGTGGTTGCTGGTGGTTGCTGGAGATTGCTGGTGGTTGCTGGTGGTTGCTGGTGGTTGCTGGTGGTTGCAGGCCAGGTGGAGCTGTACACTCACCTGCCCGTGATGAGGGAGCTGGTGGCTCAGCTGCAGCACCTGGGGATCCGCGTGTGTGGAGTTTTCCTCCTGGACTCACACTTCATGATGGAGGCCTTCAAGGTGATGACAACTACGGTGGTTGTGGTGGTGGTGGTGGTGGTTGTGGTTGTGGTGGTTGTTGTGGTGGTGGTGGTTGTTGTGGTGGTGGTGGTTGTGGTGGTGGTGGTGGTTGTGGTGGTGGTGGTGGTGGTTGTGATGGCGGTGGTGGTTGTGGTGGCGGTGGTGGTTGTGGTGGTTGTGGTGGTGGTGGTTGTGGTGGTGGTGGTGGTGGTTGTGGTGGTGGTGGTGGTGGTGGTTGTTGTGGTGGTTGTGGTGGTGGTTGTGGTGGTGGTTGTGGTGGTGGTTGTGGTGGGGGTGGTTGTGGTGGGGGTGGTTGTGGTGGGGGTGGTTGTGGTGGGGGTGGTGGTGGTGGTGGTGTTGATGATGCTACTACTGGTGGTGATGATAGTGGTGATAGTGGTGATGGTGATGATGGTGGTGATGGTGTTTGTAGTTATGATGGTGGTGTTTGTGGTGATGATGGTGGTGATTATGATGGTGGTGATGGTAGTGATGATGATAGTGGTGATGGTGGTGATGATGATAGTGGTGATGGTGATGATGGTGGTGGTGTTTGTGGTGATGGTGGTGGTGATTATGATGGTGGTGATGGTAGTGATGATGATAGTGGTGATGGTGGTGGTGGTGATTATGGTAGTGATGGTGGTGATGTTGGTGATGGTGGTGATGGTAGTGATGGTGGTGATGGTAGTGATGATGATAGTGGTGGTGATGGTGATGATGGTAGTGATGGTGATGATGGTATTGATGGTGATGGTGGTGATGGTGATGATGGTGGTGATGATGGTGGTGGTGGTGATGATGGTGATGTTAAGCTTACCATTCTGTCGGTCTCCATCTCCCCGTGTGTCTCTGTCTCCCCGTGTGTCTCTGTGTATCTCTCTGTCTCTGTGTCTCTGTGTGTCTCCCCGTGTCTGTGTGTGTCTCTGTGTGTCTCTTGTCTCCCCGTCTGTCTCTGTCTCGCCGTGTGTCTCTGTCTCCCCGTGTGTCTCTGTGTGTCTCTGTGTGTGTCTCTGTGCGTGTGTGTCTGTGTGTCTCTCTGTCTCCCTGTCTCCCCGTGTGTCTCTGTGTATCTCTCTGTCTCTGTGTGTGTCTCTGTGTATCTCTCTGTCTCTGTGTGTGTCTCTGTGTGTCTCCCCGTGTCTCTGTGTGTGTCTTTGTGTGTGTCTCTTGTCTCCCCGTGTGTCTCTGTCTCCCCGTGTGTCTCTGTCTCCCCGTGTGTCTCTGTGTGTCTCTGTGTGTGTCTCTGTGTGTCTCTGTGTGTGTCTCTGTGTGGTGGTGGTGATGGTGGTGATGATGGTGGTGATGATGGTAGTGATGATGGTAGTGATGATGGTAGTGGTGGTGATGGTGATGATGGTGATGGTGATGATGGTGTTGATGATGATGGTGATGATGGTGGTGGTGATGGTGGTGATGGTAGTGATGATGATAGTGGTGATGATGGTGATGATGGTGGTGGTGGTGATGGTGGTAGTGATGATGATAGTGATGATGATGGTGATGATGGTGGTGGTGGTGATGATGATGATGGTGATGATGGTGGTGGTGATGGTGATGATGGTGATGATGGTGGTGGTGATGGTGATGATGGTGATGATGGTGTTGATGATGATGGTGATGATGGTGGTGGTGATGGTGGTGATGGTAGTGATGATGGTGGTGGTGGTGGTTGTGGTGGTGGTGATGGTGGTGGTGATGGTAGTGATGGTGGTGATGATGGTAGTGATGGTAGTGATGATGGTGGTGGTGATGGTAGTGATGGTAGTGATGATGGTAGCGATGGTGGTGATGATGGTGTTGATGATGATGGTGGTGGTGGTGGTGATGGTGATGGTGGTGATGGAGGTGGTGGTGATGGTGATGGTGGTGATGGTGGTGGTGATTATGATGGTGATGATGGTGGTGGTGATGATGGTGATGTTGGTGCCACCCCCAGTACGTGTCCGGGGTGCTGACAGCACTAAGTGCGATGGTGTCCCTGGAGATCCCCCAAGTGAATGTCCTCTCCAAGATGGACCTCCTCAGCCCAGGGGCTCGCAAGCAGATCCACAAGTGAGTGGGTGGGTGGGTGAGTGAGTGGGTGGGTGGGTGGGTGAGTGGGTGGGTGAGTGGGTGGGTGGGTGGGTGAGTGAGTGGGTGGGTGGGTGGGTGAGTGGGTGGGTGGGTGAGTGGGTGGGTGGGTGAGTGGGTGGGTGGGTGAGTGGGTGGGTGGGTGGGTGAGTGAGTGAGCGGGTGGGTGAGTGGGTGGGTGAGTGAGTGGGTGAGTGGGTGGGTGAGTGAGTGGGTGAGTGGGTGGGTGGGTGGGTGGGTGAGTGAGTGGGTGGGTGGGTGGGTGAGTGGGTGAGTGGGTGGGTGGGTGGTTGGGTGAGTGGGTGGGTGGGTGGGTGAGTGGGTGGGTGGGTGAGTGAGTGGGTGAGTGGGTGGGTGGGTGGGTGAGTGAGTGGGTGGGTGAGTGAGTGGGTGAGTGAGTGAGTGAGTGGGTGGGTGGGTGGGTGAGTGGGTGCGTGGGTGGGTGAGTGAGTGGGTGAGTGGGTGGGTGAGTGAGTGAGTGGGTGGGTGAGTGAGTGGGTGAGTGAGTGAGTGAGTGGGTGGGCGGGCGGGCGGGCGAGTGAGCGGGCGAGTGAGTGGGTGGGTGAGTGGGTTGGTCTTTGAGCGGGCGAGTGAGTGGGTGGGTGAGTGGGTTGGTCTTTAAGTATTGCGTGGGTGAGCAGGTGATTTGGGGGGTGAGTCGGTTGGTCTGTGGGTGTGTGTGTGGATGGGTGGGTGTGTGGGTGTGTGGGTGTGTATGAAACTGGAGCGTGCCACTAAGAGGTGGGGCCTTACCATCAGCCCCACCAAAGCTAAGCACCTGCCTGGGTATTTTGTACCATTGGACACTCCACCCCCACAACTCCCAATCGGTGATGGGGCAGTTGTGGAGAGAGTGGAGAGTTTCCCATACCTGGGCAGTGTGCTCATGACCGGCTCCAGTTTAACAGCAGAGGTCTCACTCTGAATCAGTCGAGCGGCAATATCTTTTCATCGGTTGCGTAACGCTGTGTGGAAGCTACCTGGTCTGTCGCTCCGCACTAAGCTTCAGGTCTTCTCGGCCACGGTCATTCCCTCCCTTCTCTACGCTTGCGAAACGTGGACCTCCCCAATGGAACATCTTCGCCGGTTAGAAACATTTAGGCTGACCTGCCTACGATCCATCCTGGGTTTAACCAGGCTGGATTGTGTGAGGAGCTCACAAATCCTTGAAAGATCTGGGCAAAGTCCCATCGGTGAGCTCCTCCGGCAGGCAAGGCTGCGATGGCTGGGTCATGTAGCCTGCATGCCCAGCCACCGCATGCCGAAACAGCTTTTGTTCGGCCGGATTGAGGGGGATAAACGGGCACGGCACGGGCTAGAGAAGAGATGGAGTGATGTGGTACAGGAGGACGTGGAGCTGAGTGGACTTGCCGATGACTGGTACCAGCGGTGTCAAGATCGGCCTCTGTGGAGGAGGCTCGTGAAGGATGCTACTGGCCAGTTGGAGGCAGTCGCCCTCCAACAACAACGGAGGGCGGAGGAGCGACGCTCACAACAACGAGCGGAGCGCCGGGTGGCTAAAGCACAGCAGGTTGGCACAGTAGGGGGCACAGGTGGTGCATCAGCCAGTCATCATCAGCCAGTCATCTCAGTCAGTCGACCCGTGGCACCTGGGTCTGCCCCGTGACCTGCCAGCGGGCGTTCGACACTTCACGTGGCCTCAAGGTGCACATAGCCTGGCACAAGCGTCGTGGTGACGTCACCGCCACTTAGTGGCGAATGGCGGTTGTTGTGTGTGCGTTGGTATGTGAGTGTGTGTGGGTGTGTATGTATGTATGCGAGTTGGTATGTGAGTGTGTGAGTTGGTATGTGTGTGTGTGTGGGTATGTGTGTGAGTGTGTGTGGGTATGTGTGTGTGTGAGTTGGTATGTGAGTGTGTGTGTATGTGAGTTGGTATGTGAGGGTGTGTGGGTGTGTGTATGTGAGTGTGTGTGGGTATGTGTATGTGTGTGAGTTGGTATGTGAGTGTGTGTGGGTATGTGTGTGTGTGAAAGTGGGTATGTGTGTGTGAGTTGGTATGTGAGTGTGTGAGTTGGTATGTGTGTGTGTGGGTATGTGTGTGTGTGGGTATGTGTGTGAGTGTGTGTGGGTATGTGAGTGTGTGTGGGTATGTGTGTGTGTGTGTGTGAGTTGGTGTGTGTGGGTATGTGTGTGAGTGTGTGTGGGTGTGTGAGTGTGTGTGGGTATGTGTGTGTGAGTGTGTGTGAGTTGGTATGTGTGTGTGTGTGTGTGGGTATGTGTGTGTGAGTTGGTATGTGAGTGTGTGTGGGTATGTGTGTGTATGTGAGTTGGTATGTGAGTGTATGTGGGTGTGTGTATGTGAGTGTGTGTGGGTATGTGTGTGAGTTGGTATGTGAGTGTGTGTGGGTATGTATGTGTGTGAGTGTGTGTTGGTATGTGTGTGAGTGTGTGTTGGTATGTGTGTGAGTGTGTGTGGGTATGTATGTGAGTGTGTGTGGGTATGTGTGAGTGGGAGTGTGAGTTGGTATGTGAGTGTGTGTGGGTGTGTGTATGTGAGTGTGTGTGGGTATGTGTATGTGTGTGAGTTGGTATGTGAGTGTGTGTGGGTATGTGTGTGTGTGAAAGTGGGTATGTGTGTGTGAGTTGGTATGTGAGTGTGTGAGTTGGTATGTGTGTGTGTGGGTATGTGTGTGAGTGTGTGTGGGTATGTGAGTGTGTGTGGGTATGTGTGTGTGTGTGTGAGTTGGTGTGTGTGGGTATGTGTGTGAGTGTGTGTGGGTATGTGAGTGTGTGTGGGTATGTGTGTGTGTGAGTTGGTATGTGTGTGTGTGTGTGGGTATGTGTGTGTGAGTTGGTATGTGAGTGTGTGTGGGTATGTGTGTGTATGTGAGTTGGTATGTGAGTGTATGTGGGTGTGTGTATGTGAGTGTGTGTGGGTATGGGTATGTGTGTGAGTGTGTGTGGGTATGTATGTGAGTGTGTGTGGGTATGTGGGAGTGTGAGTGGGTATGTGTGGGTATGTGTGTGTGTATGTGTGTGAGTGTGTGTGGGTGTGTGTGAGTATGTGAGTGTGTGTGGGTATGTGTGAGTGTGTGAGTTGGTATGTGTGTGTGTGTGGGTATGTGCGTGTGTGGGTATGTGTGTGTGGATATGTGTGTGTGAGTGTGTGTGGGTGTGTGGATATGTGTGTGTGAGTGTGTGTGGGTATGTGTGTGTGAGTTGGTATGTGAGTGTGTGAGTTGGTATGTGTGTGTGTGGGTAGGTTCCTGGAGCCGGATCTGTGTGAGTATCTGGACGAGGGATCTGGGGCCTGGGCTTCGGAGAAATTCAAACGGCTCAGCAAATCCATCAGCGATCTGGTGAGTGTGTGTGTACATGTGTGTACAAATACATGTGTTTGTACACACGTGTGTATCAGTGTATGAGTGAGTGAGGGTATGAGTGAGTGTATGAGTGAGTGCATGAGTGAGTGAGTATGAGTGACTGTACGAGTGAATGAGTGTATGAGTGAGTGAGTGTATGAGTGAGTGAGTGTTTGAGTGAGTGAGCGTATGAGTGAGTGAGTGTATGAGTGAGTGGGTGAGTGAGTGGGTGTGTGTGTGAGTAGGTGAGTATATGTGTGAGTAGGTGAGTGAGTGTATGAGTGAGTGTATGAGTGTGTGTTGGAGTGGCGCCCCCTTTGCTCGGCCGCCTTTGTCTCCCGAATTGCCACAGACTCACTCATGCACGCTCACCTACCCACTTACTCCTTCACTCATTCACTCACTCATTCACTCACCCACTCACACCTACCCATTCATTCACTCACTCAGTGAGTGTGTGTATGATGGTGTGAGTGAGTGTATGTGTGAGTGAGTGTATGAGTGAGTGAGTGTATGAGTGAGTGAGTGTATGAGTGAGTGAGTGTATGAGTGAGTGTATGAGTGAGTGTATGAGTGAGTGTATGAGTGAGTGTATGAGTGTATGAGTGAGTGTATGAGTGTGTGTATGAGTGAGTGAGTGAGTGTATGAGTGAGTGTATGAGTGTATGAGTGAGTGTATGAGTGTGTGTATGAGTGAGTGAGTGTATGAGTGAGTGAGTGTATGAGTGTTTGAGTGAGTGAGTGTGTGAGTGAGTGAGTGTATGAGTGAGTGAGTGTATGAGTGAGTGTATGAGTGAGTGAGTGAGTGTATGAGTGAGTGAGTGTATGAGTGAGTGTATGAGTGAGTGAGTGTATGAGTGAGTGAGTGTATGAGTGAGTGTATGAGTGTATGAGTGAGTGTATGAGTGTGTGTATGAGTGAGTGAGTGTATGAGTGAGTGAGTGTATGAGTGTTTGAGTGAGTGAGTGTGTGAGTGAGTGAGTGTATGAGTGAGTGAGTGTATGAGTGAGTGTATGAGTGAGTGTATGAGTGAGTGTATGAGTGAGTGAGTGTATGAGTGAGTGTATGAGTGAGTGTATGAGTGAGTGTATGAGTGAGTGTATGAGTGAGTGTATGAGTGAGTGTATGAGTGAGTGAGTGAGTGTATGAGTGAGTGTACGAGTGAGTGTATGAGTGAGTGTACGAGTGAGTGTATGAGTGAGTGAGTGAGTGTATGAGTGAGTGAGTGTATGAGTGAGTGTATGAGTGAGTGTATGAGTGAGTGAGTGTATGAGTGAGTGTATGAGTGAGTGAGTGTATGAGTGAGTGAGTGTATGAGTGAGTGAGTGTATGAGTGGCTGTGTCTGCGTGCGGGCGAGCAGGTGGACGACTACAGCCTGGTGCGGTTCCTGCCGCTGGACCGCAGTGAGGACGACTCGGTGGACGCCGTGCTTGCCCAGGTGGACTCAGCACTGCAGTACGGGGAGGACGAGGAGCCGAGGGAGCCCCGGGTCGGTCAACAACAACCACCACCACTACAACCACTACAACCACCACCACTACAACAACCATCACCACTACAACCACCACCACTACCACCACTACAACCACTACAACCACCACCACTACAACCACTACAACCACCACCACTACAACCACTACAACCACCACCACTACCACCACCACCACTACAACCACCACCACTACAACCACCACCACTACCACCACCACCACTACAACCACCACCACTACAACAACCACTACAACCACTACAACAACCACTACAACCACTACAACCACCACCACTACAACCACCACCACTACAACCACTACAACCACCACCAATACAACCACTACAACCACCACCACTACAACCACCACCACTACAACCACTACAACCACCACCACTACAACCACCACCACTACAACCACCACCACTACAACCACCACCACTACAACCACCACCACTACCACCACTACAACCACCACCACCACTACAACCACTACCACCACTACAACCACCACCACTACCACCACTACAACCACCACCACTACAACCACCACCACCACTACAACCACCACCACCACTACAACCATCACCACTACAACCACCGCCACTACAACCACCACCACTACAACCACCACCACTACCACCACTACAACCACCACCACTACAACAACCATCACCACTACAACCACCACCACTACAACCACCACCACCACTACAACCACCACCACTACAACCACTACAACCACTACAACCACCACCACTACCACCACTACAACCACCACTACTACAACCACCACCACTACAACCACCACCACTACAACCACCACCACTACAACCACCCCAACCACCACCACTACAACCACCACCACCACTACAACCACCACCACTACAACCACCACTACTACGACCACTACAACCACCGCCACTACAACCACCACCACTACAACCACCACCACTACAACCACCACCACTACAACCATCACCACTACAACCACCACCACTACAACCACCACCACTACAACCACCACCACTACCACCACCACCACTACCACCACTACCACCACTACAACCACCACCACTACTACAACCACCACCGCTACAACCACCACCACTACAACCACCACTACAACCACCACCACTACAACCACCACTACAACCACCACCACTACAACCACCACCACTACAACCACCACCACTACAACCACCACCACTACAACCACCACCACTACAACCACTACAACCACCACCACTACAACCACCACCACTACAACCACTACAACCACCACCACTACAACCACCACCACTACTACAACCACCACCACTACAACCACTACAACCACCACCACTACAACCACCACCACTACAACCACCACCACTACAACCACCACCACTACAACCACCACCAATACAACCACTACAACCACCACCACTACAACCACCACCAATACAACCACTACAACCACCACCACTACAACCACCACCACTACAACCACCACCACTACAACCACCACCACTACAACCACCTCCACTACAACCACCACCACTACAACCACCGCCACTACAACCACTACAACCACCACCACTACAACCACCACCACTACAACCACCACCACTACAACCACCACCACTACAACCACCTCCACTACAACAACCACTACCACCACTACAACCACCACCACTACAACCACTACAACCACCACCACTACAACCACCGCCACTACAACCACTACAACCACCACCACTACAACCACTACAACCACCACCACTACAACCACTACAACCACCACCACTACAACCACCACCACTACCACCACTACAACCACCGCCACTACAACCACTACAACCACCACCACTACAACCACCACCACTACAACCACCACCACTACAACCACCACCACTACAACCACCACTACTACAACCACCACCACTACAACCACCACCACTACAACCACCACCACTACAACCACCACCACTACAACCACCACCACTACCACCATTACAACCACCGCCACTACAACCACCGCTACAACCACCACCACTACAACCACTACAACCACCACTACTACAACTACCACTACAACCACCACCACCACTACAACCACCACCACTACAACCACAACTACAACCACCACCACTACAACCACCACCACTACAACCACCGCCACTACAACCACCATAACTACAACCACCACCACTACTACCACCACCACTACAACCACCACCACCACTACAACCACCACCACTACAACCACCTCCACTACAACCACCACCACTACAACCACCACCACTACAACCACCACCACTACAACCACCACTACAACCATCACCACTACAACCACCACCACTACAACCACCACCACTACAACCACCACTACTACAACCACCACCACTACAACCACCACCACTACAACAACCACCACCACTACAACCACCACCACTACAACCACCACCACTACAACCATCACCACTACAACCACCACCACTACAACCACCACCACTACAACCACCACCTCTACAACCACCACCACTACAACCACCACCACTACAACCACCACCACCACTACAACCACCACCACTACAACCACCACCACTACAACCACCACTACTACGACCACTACAACCACCGCCACTACCACCACTACAACCACCACCACTACAACCACTACAACCACCACCACTACAACCACCGCCACTACAACCACTACAACCACCACCACTACAACCACTACAACCACCACCACTACAACCACTACAACCACCACCACTACAACCACCACCACTACAACCACCACCACTACCACCACCACCACTACAACCACCACCACTACAACCACCACTACAACCACTACAACCACCACCACTACAACCACCACCACTACAACCACCACCACTACAACCACCACCACTACAACCACCACTACTACAACCACCACCACTACAACCACCACCACTACAACCACCACCACTACAACCACCACCACTACAACCACCGCCACTACAACCACCACTACAACCACCACCCCTACAACCACCACCACCACTACAACCACCACCACTACAACCACAACTACAACCACCACCACTACAATCACCACCACTACAACCACCACCACTACAACCACCACCACTACAACCACCGCCACTACAACCACCACTACTACAACCACCACCACTACTACCACCACCACTACAACCACCACCACCACTACAACCACCACCACTACAACCACCTCCACTACAACCACCACCACTACAACCACCACCACTACAACCACCACCACTACAACCACCACTACAACCACCACCACTACAACCACCACCACTACAACAACCACCACCACTACAACCACCACCACTACAACCACCACCACTACAACCATCACCACTACAACCACCACCACTACAACCACCACCACTACAACCACCACCTCTACAACCACCACCACTACAACCACCACCACTACAACCACCACCACCACTACAACCACCGCCACTACAACCACCACCACTACAACCACCACCACTACAACCACCACCACTACAGCCACTACAACCACCACCACTACAACCACCACCACTACAACCACCACCACTACAACCACCACCACTACAACCACCACCACTACAGCCACTACAACCACCACCACTACAACCACCACCACTACAACCACCACTACTACAACCACCGCCACTACAACCACCACTACAACCACCACCACTACAACCACTACAACCACCACTACTACAACCACCACCACTACAACCACCACAACTACAACCACCACCACTACAATCACCACCACTACAACCACCACCACTACAACCACCACCACTACAACCACCGCCACTACAACCACCACCACTACAACCACCACTACTACAATCACTACACCCATCACCACTACAACCACCACCACTACAACCACCGCCACTACAACCACCATAACTACAACCACCCCGACTACAACCACCACCACTACAAACACCACAACTACAACCACCACAACTACAACCACCATAACTACAACCACCACCACTACAACCACCACCACTACAACCACTGCCACAACCACTACAACCACCACTACTACAACCATCACCACTAGAACCACCACAACTACAACCACTGCCACCACCACTACAACCACGATAACTACAACCACCGCCACTACAACCACCATAACTACAACCACCACCACTACAACCACGATAACTACAACCACCGCCACTACAACCACCATAACTACAACCACCACAACTACAATCACAACCACCACAACTACAACCACCACCACTACAACCACCACAACTACAACCACCACAACTACAACCACTACAACCACTACCACAACCACTACAACTACTACAGCCACTACCACTACAGCCACAACCACCAGTGAGTGAGCAGGTGTGTGTTTGTGTAGGTGTGTGTATGTGTGTATGTATGTGTGTGTAGGTGTGTGTGTGTGTATGTGTGTATGTAGGTGTGTGTATGTGTGTGTAGGTGTGTGTATGTGTGTGTATGTGTGTGTGTATATGTGTGTGTAGGTGTGTGTGTGTATGTGTGTGTATGTGTGTTTATGTGTTTGTAGGTGTGTGTGTGTATGTGTGTGTGTGTAGGTGTGTGTGTGTATGTGTGTGTGTGTAGGTGTGTGTGTGTGTATGTGTGTGTGTGTAGGTGTGTGTGTGTATGTGTGTGTGTGTAGGTGTGTGTGTGTGTATGTATGTGTGTGTAGGTGTATGTGTGTATGTGTGTGTGTTTGTCTTCTTTCGCACCGTACTTAGCAAGCTGCTAATCGGAGGTGCGAAGGTGAGTGAGCGGGTGGGTGGGTGAGTGAGTGAGCGGGTGAGTGAGCGGGTGAGTGAGCGGGTGGGTGAGCGAGTGGGTGAGTGAGTGGGTGGGTGGGTGGGTGAGTGAGTGAGCGGGTGAGTGAGCGGGTGAGTGAGCGGGTGGGTGAGCGAGTGGGTGAGTGAGTGGGTGGGTGAGTGGGTGGATGAGTGAGTGAGCAGATGAGTGGGTAGGTAAGTGGGTGGGTGAGTGAGCGAGCAGGTGAGTGAGTGGGTGGATGAGCGGGTGGTTTGAGGTTTGAGTTAGTGAGTGACTGACTGATTGGTTTCTCTGCTTTCAGGATGAAGATGCTGGCAATGATGGTGACTTTGACAGCTTCCCGCAAAACTCATGAGACCCACAGACTCACTCACACAGAGACCCACAGACTCACCACACAGAGACCCACAGACTCACCACACAGAGACCCACGAACTCACTCACGCAGAGATCAACAGACTCACTCACACAGAGACCCACAGACTCACCACACAGAGACCCACAGACTCACCACAGACCCACAGACTCACTCACACAGAGACCCACAGACTCACTCACACAGAGACCCACAGACTCACTCACACAGAGACCCACAGACTCACTCACACAGAGACCCACAGACTAACCACACAGAGACCCACAGACTCACTCACACAGAGACCCACAGACTCGCCACACAGAGACCCACAGACTCACCACTCACACAGAGACCCACAGACTCACTCACACAGAGACCCACAGACTCACCACACAGAGACCCACAGACTCACTCACACAGAGACCCACAGACTCACACAGAGACCCACTGACTCACCACACAGAGACCCACAGACTCACTCACACAGAGACCCACAGACTCACCACAGGGAGACCCACAGACTCACTCACGCAGAGACCCACAGACTCACCACACAGAGACCCACAGACTCACTCACACAGAGACTCACAGACTCACCACTCACACAGAGACCCACAGACTCACCACACAGAGACCCACAGACTCACTCACACAGAGACCCACAGACTCACCACACAGAGACCCACAGACTCACCACACAGAGACCCACAGACTCACACAGAGACCCACAGACTCACCACACAGAGACCCACAGACTCACTCACACAGAGACCCACAGACTTACCACTCACACAGAGATCCACAGACTCACTCACACAGAGACCCACAGACTCACCACTCACACAGAGACCCACAGACTCACCACACAGAGACCCACAGACTCACTCACACAGAGACCCACAGATTCACTCACACAGAGACCCACAGACTCACCAACACAGAGACCCACAGACTCGCCACACAGAGACCCACAGACTCACTCACACAGAGACCCGCAGACTCACCACTCACACAGAGACCCACAGACTCACTCACACAGAGACCCACAGACTCACCACACAGAGACCCACAGACTCACCACACAGAGACCCACAGACTCACCACACAGAGGCCCACAGACTCGCCACTCACACAGAGACCCACAGACTCGCTCACACAGAGACCCACGCACTCACTCACACAGAGACCCACAGGCTCACCACTCACACAGAGACCCACAGACTCACCACACAGACCCACAGACTCACTCACACAGAGACCCCACAGACTCACTCACACAGAGACCCACAGACTAACCACACAGAGACCCACAGACTCACCACTCACACAGAGACCCACAGACTCACTCACACAGAGAGCCACAGACTCACCACACAGAGACCCACAGACTCACTCACACAGAGACCCACAGACTCGCCACTCACACAGAGACCCACAGACTCACTCACACAGAAACCCACAGACTCACCACACAGAGACCCACAGACTCACTCACACAGAGACCCACAGACTCACTCACACAGAGACCCACAGACTCACCAACACAGAGACCCACAGACTGACCACACAGAGACCCACAGACTCACACAGAGACTCACAGACTCACTCACACAGAGACCCACAGACTCACCACTCACACAGAGACCCACAGACTCACCACTCACACAGAGACCCACAGACTCACCACACAGAGACCCACAGACTCACTCACACAGAGACCCACAGACTCACCACTCACACAGAGACCCACAGACTCACTCACACAGAGACCCACAGACTCACCACACAGAGACCCACAGACTCACCACTCACACAGAGACCCACAGACTCACCACACAGAGACCCACAGACTCACTCACACAGAGACCCACAGACTCACTCACACAGAGACCCACGCACTCACTCACACAGAGACCCACAGACTCACCACTCACACAGAGACCCACAGACTCACCACACAGAGACCCACAGACTCACCACTCACACAGAGACCCACAGACTCACCACACAGAGACCCACAGACTCACTCACACAGAGACCCACAGACTCGCTCACACAGAGACCCACAGACTCACTCACACAGAGACCCACAGACTCACCACACAGAGACCCACAGACTCACCACTCACACAGAGACCCACAGACTCACTCACACAGAGACCCACAGACTCACTCACACAGAGACCCACAGACTCACCAACACAGAGACCCACAGACTCACCACACAGACCCACAGATTCACTCACACTAAGACCCACAGACTCACTCACACAGAGACCCACAGACTCACTCACACAGAGACCCACAGACTCACCACTCACACAGAGACCCACGCACTCACTCACACAGAGACCCACAGACTCACCACACAGAGACCCACAGACTCACCACACAGAGACTCACAGACTCACCACACAGAGGCCCACAGACTCGCCACTCACAGAGGCCCACAGACTCACTCACACAGAGACCCACAGACTCGCCACACAGAGACCCACAGACTCACCACACAGAGACCCACAGACTCACTCACACAGAGACCCACAGACTCACCACACAGAGACCCACAGACTCACCAACACAGAGACCCACAGACTGACCACACAGAGACCCACAGACTGACCACTCACACAGAGACCCACAGACTCACCACTCACACAGAGACCCACAGACTCACCACTCACACAGAGACCCACAGACTCACCACTCACACAGAGACCCACACACTCACTCACACAGAGACCCACAGACTCACCACTCACACAGAGACGCACAGACTCACCACTCACACAGAGACCCACACACTCACTCACACAGAGACCCACAGACTCACCACTCACACAGAGACCCACAGACTCATCACACAGAGACCCACAGACTCACCACTCACACAGAGACCCACAGACTCACTCACACAGAGACCCACAGACTCACTCACACAGAGACCCACAGACTCACCAACACGGAGACCCACAGACTCACTCACACAGAGACCCACAGACTCACCAAACAGAGACCCACAGACTCACCAAACAGAGACCCACAGACTCACTCACACAGAGGCCCACAGACTCACCAAACAGAGACCCACAGACTCACCACACAGAGACCCACAGACTCACTCACACAGAGACCCACAGACTCACTACTCACACAGAGACCCACAGAGTCACCACTCACACAGAGACCCACAGACTCACTCACACAGAGACCCACAGACTCACCACTCACACAGAGACCTACGCACTCACTCACACAGAGACCCACAGACTCACTCACACAGAGAACCACGCACTCACTCACACAGAGACCCACAGACTCACCAAACAGAGACCCACAGACTCACTCACACAGAGACCCACAGACTCACCACTCACACAGAGACCCACAGACTCACTCACACAGAGGCCCACAGACTCACCACTCACACAGAGACCCACAGACTCACTCACACAGAGACCCACAGACTCACCACACAGAGACCCACAGACTCACCACACAGAGACCCACAGTCTCACCACACAGAGACCCACAGACTGACCACACAGAGACCCACAGACTCGCCACACAGAGACCCACAGACTCACCACACAGAGACCCACAGGCTCACCACTCACACAGAGACCCACAGACTCACTCACACAGAGACCCACAGGCTCACCACTCACACAGAGACCCAGAGACTCACTACACAGAGACCCACAGACTCACCACTCACACAGAGACCCACAGACTCACACAGAGACCCACAGACTCACTCACACAGAGACCCACAGACTCACCACTCACACAGAGACCCACAGACTCACTCACACAGAGACCCACAGACTCACCACTCACACAGAGACTCACCACTCACACAGAGACCCACAAACTCACTCACACAGAGACCCACAGACTCACCACTCACACAGAGACCCACAGACTCACCAACACAGAGACCCACAGACTCACCACTCACACAGAGACCCACAGACTCACTCACACAGAGACCCACAGACTCGCCACACAGTATAAACCGAGAGAGAGTGATGCGTGTATCCCAATGTTTGTGTTATTTAAGTAAAGCTCTTGTTCGCACACCCAGACGAGGGCATGGTCGTCATTCTCACTCGGCCCGCGTAGCAACGGCAACACTGCACTGGGGGAGTGTGGGGGGGAGACAAAGGCGGCCGGGAAGGGGGGTCCTCACGGGCAGCGGAGCTTTGCACCGATAACCGACCCGGCCCAGAGTCTCCTGAGGTTCGATTCCCGCTCACGGCCACCACCCACCCACCACCTCCACCCACTACCCACCCACCACACACCACCATTGCCACCACCCACCCACCCACCACTGCCGCCACCACCCACCCACTACTGCCGCCACCCACCACCCACCCACCACCTACAGCCACTACCCACCCACCACACACCACCATTGCCACCACCCACCCACCCACCACTGCCGCCACCACCCACCCACTACTGCCGCCACCCACTACCCACCCACCACACACCACCATTGCCACCACCCACCCACTACTGCCGCCACCCACCCACCACCTCCAGCCACTACCCACCCACCACACACCACCATTGCCACTAACCACCCACCACACACCACCACTGCTACCATCACCGCCACCACTGGTGGTGTCTTAATAGGCAGCGCTGCTGCTGCTGCTGGCAACTAACAGCCACTTGCCCCGACAGCCACTGTGAGTGTGGGCTACCTGGGGGAGCTTTGCATTTACCTTTGTATGTATGGGAGAGTGTGAGTAGGTGAGTGGGTGGGTGGGTGGGTAAGTGTGTGGGTGAGTGAGTGGGTGTGTGGGTGAGTGTGTGTGTGAGTAGTTGAGTAGGTGAGTGTGTGTGTGTGAGTAGGTGAGTGTGGGTGAGTGTGTGAGTGAGTAGGTGAGTGTGTGAGTGGGTGGGTAAGTGTGTGGGTGAGTGAGTGTGTGTGAGTAGGTGAGTGTGTGTGTGAGTAGGTGAGTGTGGGTGAGTGTGTGTGTGGGTGAGTGTGTGAGTAGGTGAGTGAGTGAGTGTGTGAGTGTAGCGATAGTGTAGCGGTATGAACCTGGCGAC